AGTAGTGGCGGGCCGTTGCTCTCCTCCTGTTTCTGTTGTTGATCTGGTGATGATGGGGCAACAGTAGTGGTGTCAGTGAGAGGAATAGTGGCAGAGGCACTCATGGACTCACTCATACTGAGGGATGGTGTGGTGGTAGTGAATTGACCGTTATTCCACGCTTCGTTGCCTCTCCTCCCTTTTCCTGTTGCCTCTGTAGCGTATCCACCCACACGTGGCACCGGCAGTGCCATCCTCTCTGCTGCTGCTGCACATGTACAGATGCAGAAGAGTATCAGTAGCAAGATTAATAAAAGAGTTGTGCGCATAGTGATTGTGTAGCTGTGTCATTTATTTAATGATGCGTCATGTTATGAAAGAAAAGAAATAGAGAGCAACAATTTATCATTAATAATATGGTTGTTTGAATGGCAAACATAAACAAGAAGGATTACTATTAAAATTCAAATTACGCATCCACTGATAAGTATTAATAAAGAACAAATGTGATCACTATTGTCTACTTGTTTTTTTATCTGATTCTAACACTACATCGTGCAGTGTAACAAAGAATCAAGTCCAAATAGTTACGTGATGTTTTTATCGTATGAGCACCCTAGACATATAAAGAAAGGTGTTTTCCGCTATGAAATACTAGATAAAGATACAATAACAATATTGAGAACGATACATATTAGTGCCATCTAAAAACACATCATTATCGTCTCACTGCATGGTGAGGAACTCTGGTTTTGGGATTATTGGTGGGACATCAGTGGTACTGCAGTTAGTGCCATACAGTGATGAAAATCAAGTGGTTTCACTAATTAACTACATTACTACGGACTGGGGGCATAACTCATGTAGATACACAGAGTCCTGCTTATTAAGAGCTTGGTCGTAACAAAGTAACAGCAGCACTATTAACTTTCTTTCCTTTTTTTTTCTTTTATCCACTACGTAATCCATGTAAAGTGTTGCAGTATCAGTGTTTCCCTCTTTTCATTATTCATGCCCCTTCACCAACAGCCATACCACAGTTAGAATAGAAATGCAGACGTATCATATACGCCTTACATGGCATCTTCACTATCAGTCCATATGGGTCTTTAATTGACAGGAAGGAAAAGAAAAGAAAAACAACAGGGGAGTACATATGGTGAATAGAGATCATTATTAAAAGGTACACGTAAACTTAACATGGTGGATAGTGAGGAAAAGAGAAACAGAAAAAAGATAAACCCATTAGTTTCACTACGCATTAAGAGTAATAATATGTAAATAAAAATAGAATAAATAATTAATTAATAACAAGATATTATATCCAACGTTCAGTCAATTATTATCAATTCATTTTCTTCATTACAACATACAGTGAA